TGATGGCTTTCTATGCGCGTTACGCATACGCCCTGTTGACGCCTCCCGCTTTTGCCCCTGCAAACAAACGCCATTGTGCGCAAAATGAAGGAAATCAGGGAATGAGTGAATGAGTGAATGATTGAATGGGAACGGGTGCCGATGAAGAAGTGGATTGTGCTCTTATGAGCGGGAATGAAGGAGCATTTCGGGCCATATCCTTACAAAAGAACAACAATGAACTAAGGGCTTGCTTGGCGGTGGTGAAAATGTGAAATTGATATTGATATTATGCAATGTTGTCCCGCAATGAATCGAATCGACTCGAATCGACTCGAATCGACTCGACTCGAATCGGAGCGAAACGAAACAAAAACCCAACGATGAGAGTTGATTTTACGAGCCTTAAACATGACACTGAAATGAACTTTTTAAAGTGGGTTCTTCGGCCAAGTGGATGTGGATGTGTTTGCGCGGCGAATGCATACGCGGAATTTTACGACAGTTTGTTAGCGGATTCATTGGGACTCGTATGCTGCGAATTCGCATCCACATTCAAATGCGAATGGCCAGGACAATGGATAGGATCGGATTGGATCGGATCAAAACGAATCGGACACCATTTCCGCTGTCATCGAGACCGTAGATACATCCGTCAGCAGGGGCGCAGTGAAAAAGGGGTAGAAAAAGGGGCTCCAAGTTATCAGCTTCAACTGTGGTATTAAACTGGTATAACTGGCTTTAAATTATATTGTTGCATGCGCGAAAAAGAGCGAATTTGCTGAATACTTTTTCAACGTCTCTTGCAGTTTGGCTACTGACATTTGACATCCGCCAACCGTTTTGGTCTGCTGTTTTCTCATAAGTGCATAGCCGAATTCATTGCGGCAATAATACTGTCGAAAAATATACAAAAATTGCTTCTTGTGAAATACATTTTTAAATTGCTATAACGATCAAATAGTAAGTTTAATCTTTGAGTGGCAATATATATAAATATATGTTTACCTATAACGTAGGGTAAGCTTGCAGTCAATCACTCTTCAATCCATGCTAGAGAAATAACTTTACATTGAAAGTGGATTAACAAATAAAAGAGGAAATCCAAATTCGGTTGACACTTATCAGGATATTGTTTTGTCTGCAGTTTTAGGCTGCAATCTGCTTGGACAGATCCCGTGGAAAATGCCATCGGAATGATGGCGGCGTTGATTTAATTTTCTCTTTGTCCAATCGACCGGCATTGTTGCCCATTTCGTTTTGCAATGCCGGACATGTTGGCCTTCTAATTTGCAATCGGATTGAGTTGCCCCTCGCCATTCATAACACCCATAAATATGCTGATTCTGCTGTGCTGCAAGGCTAAAATTTAATTTCGACTGTGTGTAAGTCGCTGCTCCTTCCGCCTGTCTTCGCTGTTTGTTTGTTAATAATGTAAGCGTTTTAATATTTAATATTGCGCATACGACATGTTGCGCCAATTTTTTTTGGTGCTGACATTTAAATGAATTTTCAATAATTTCGCTGTCGGTTTTTTGGCAGCCGATAGAGTTGCTGTTGCTGTTGCTGTTGCCGTTGCCGTTGCGTTGGAAAAGCACCACCAACAAGCACTTAACGCCTAGAAAGGACCTTCACACCAGCACCCGCATCCACAAGGATATCACGCCCATTCCATTTTCGGGGGCGCAACCTACTGGCGAAAATGCCATTTGTGCAAATCTAATAAACAGCGAACCGCATTAAATTTGACAGTGAGGTGTGGGATTTTCAGGGCAGAATGGATATGTATATATATATTATAAATATATATACGTTTGCGTTCAGGGGGAATCGTGTCTCTGGGAAAACGTGTCAATCGAGTGGCGTTTTGGGAAAGTGGGCGGGGATGCGTCCTGGTGGGCGCTACAATGTCCCAACTTTCATTACAGCATCCGCAAAGAATCCTTTGGCCAAATCATTATTGGGTAAATCACTTGATACCGTGCTGAAATATTTGCAGTTTTCAAAATGAAACTTTATTAAATCTTTGCATACCTATTGATATTTAAATATTAAGAGACATATCAATATTATTATTTATACATCAATGCAGAAAATGTGCTTTAGCGTTCGTAAATTTTCTTATTTTCCGATACACTATGCAACCTTAAAATATGTGCCAAACTGATTTATTATCATATACTCCACGAGAATGTCGCATCTTGTGGCATAAATCACAACTGCCCCATGTCCGTGGCCGAAAGCTGCCAAAGACACCCGAGAGAAGTGGGAAAAAATAAGAAAATACTGCTTCTCCTTCGTGTTTCTTTAAAATCCCTAGCTAACTGGTGAATGTATGACACATTTCGCCTTTGGGATTTGCAGGCGAAGGACGCGTTTCGCTTTCGCTTTCGTTTTGGCATCCACCGCTTGCCATTTTCCGTTGGCATGTAGTTTAGGCCAAATTAACATATCACACAGGCCGCAGCGTCCTTGGGTCCTCTGCACCTTCTCCGCTTCACTTGCCACTTTGAGACGCGTCCTCATGGCCTCACAGTCAGTATTTGTCATACAGTCGCGGCCAAGCCATCAGTGCCTGTGACGCTGGCTATGCCTTGGCTACCCATTTTCCACATTCAATATCTCAGCATTTGTTTGGTATTGCATATATAACGTACGTTTCGACCTACTTTTGCGACCGCCATTGTACAATCCAAATAGGCCCAGGCGATGGGCCATTGACTGCCAGCCATTTGGATGGCGTTGCAGTCAAGTTCTGTGAGACTTCGTTCTCCTTTCTGGTCGTCATGGTTCATATCGCGGTTTTGACGCTGTCTCTGAAATATTCTGAATGTCATGCGGGGACCCACAAAAGGTGAACCAATTCTCGCAAAATTGTCTGTGAAAAAACGATGAATCTCGATTGGCCTTTTGTGCGAACAGCAACATTAAAAGTTTGAAGATCTTTAAAAGGCTTCTGCATACGCAATGCAAGCATTACGGCAGTAATTCAAATAAAATATACATAATTTTCACCTTAAAATATTATTTAGTTACCCACATTTTACAAGCGTTCTTCGTTCTTCGATAAGCAGTTTAACTTCATGCTGTAAGTACATAGAGTTCTCATTCCAGGAATTTAGCCTCTTATGTGGGAAAGTGCATTTGTATGTACGATGCGAATGGTTATATACATATGTGCTGCACACTTGAGTCCACGCATTCAGCCATTTCATTTCGACATACAACGATAAGCAGGACGAAGTTTGCAACTTGCAATTCCTGGAATTCCTCGACTGTTCCTTTGTTCTAATCAATGTCCGATTGAGTGCAGATGTGTGCACTTGAAAAACCCTGTACATAGGTATATACAAATATCAACATAAAGTGTGCTGAAGAATTACAAAAATAGCTGCCTAAAATAATCGAAATCGAGTGCTTAAGAGCTCGCCTATATATTTTTATTTTTTGAAGCTACTACTCAAGAAAATAGAAGAAAAAGCCAATCCGATTTGGACGTTCAGTCTCAGCACTCAATGTTGCTCCTTTTAATCGCATTTTTTTTGTGAAAATTATTCATTGTTCTCGTTGAATGCAGGTAATAATTTTTTGTTTTGTATTATCCTCCATGGACATTTGTTTTTTGCTTCCATTGGGCCGGGGAACCCCCGCCTGGGTTTTCTTTCTGATTTGTTTGATTGCTGTTGCTGATGATGTTGTTGTTGTTGTTGTTGTTGGTGGTGGTGGTGGTGGTGGTGTTGGTGGTGCACTTGCTGGTACGATACGAGTGGCAGACAATAAAGAGCATTTCATTTGAATAATGCGAAAACATTTTGCTAGACGCCCGCTGCCATTGTCTAGCAGCCCATAATTTCCCCCAAACGCCAACCAACCGACGCTGCCTGTGCTCTTTAAACTGCTCAACTGACATGCCGATTGCTTTTGTCTGCACACCTATATCTGTCAAACACACCTCCGTACACTCGAGTCTGATTGCCCCTTGATGGACAGGACAGTTCAGTTCAGTTCAGCTCAGTTCAGTTCAGTTCGGTTCGGTTCTGGGGAGGCAGAGGGTATATATTTGGTCATCGGTAATCGCCGATGGGTCGATACCGCTTCACAGTCCGGTGTCCTGGCGATATGTTCTCCTTAGACTGAGGCGTTCAAATTGCACTGCATCACAAAGCTGGTATCGGTATTATCGATAGGTTTGATTGTTGGTTATCGATCGACTTGAAATATTAACGAAATATACCAAACTTGATTACATTCTCATTTATGTGTCTAGATTTGCCGCCAATTGAATTGACAGGGTACTAACACAAACGATTGGTTCGATCAATATAGTTCTGGTATTTAGATCATCACATTACAATTAGGTATCGATTATCCATGCAGACGCAACGCTGACCAATTTCCTTAAAACTATTCCAATTAGCGGTGATTGCAGCGCACTTATTGATGGACAGCTCGTAGATGCCTTTTTCAAATATGGTTGCCTTATTTCTCTAGCTTTGAACCAATTTGAAGACCTCCTTGTGCCCTCCGTTTTCTGGCGTTCTTCCACTGCAGTTGTGCGCCGTTTTGGAGCCCAAACTTTGATGTGCCCCGCCTGAAAGTATGCCACATTGCCCGTGACGAGAAGATTATTGCTATTGTCGTATCAATTGGTAGCATTTACATGCGGCACGTTTCTCTGGTTGTTGCTGAATAAATCACAGCCCATACAGACATGTTCCTATGAATAATTTGTGGACTGTATTGCTTTTGTGCAATGCAGTCGCCGTTCGTAATTGCTTTAGAAAAAACATGTTTTTGGGTCACCAGCAATTGCAGCATAATCGATTAAATTAGTAAACAAATTAATACACATTTCCTTGGTCGATTGGCGACTGGTGTTAGACGTTTATCATTAATTAAGTCGCTATTTGGCAACTAAGTGGTGTTTGATTGTGTTTGGGTTAGTGGCATTAAGTCATTGATATTTTTTAAATTACATTTTTAAATAATAAATAAAGACAAAGATCGTTGGAACCGTTCAATTTTATTAAGGTGTACCACAAAAAATTGGTTTTAAGCCAACGAATTTAATTTGAAAAAAATGGAAAAAAAAGTGCTCTATTAAACACCCTTTTCCAGGGTATCTCGCATAGCCCTGAGCATTTCGGGCAGCATTCCCACATGGCTATCCACGCAGTTGCTGGAGCAACGTTCCAAGCTATATGCAGATCCATGGATTCGGCACTGCTGGATGCACTTCTCCAAACGATTCTCAAAGTCTGATATCCCCTGCTGCACGAAGCAGCGGGCTCTTGTCAAACGGATCTGGCACCGGTCCACGCACCGCTCCACCGCCTCCGCATTCGCATCCGCATCCGCACAACAGGCGGTCGCACAGGTGTGCATCTCGATCTGCAGCTTGCGCAGATAGTCCCGATCCAGATCCTCCATGGCGGTCAGGATTGCGTTGTCAACGCGTTCGCGCTGCTCCTCCGAACTCGATTGGTCGCAATCCATCTTGTTGTTAGTATTAATTATTGTATGGAAAATATGAAAGTCGGTTGGGATTTTCGTTTGATAGTTTTGTGACTGCTTTATTTGTGTTAAGGAAAAACCCCATGCCACTGTGATATCATGATTTCAAATTAATAGTTGCTTTTCGTAAGCGAGTACCTCTTCACAGATTTCTAATATATCTATTATATATTCTATTATATCATCAGGAAATGAGACTCTTAAGTTCGCTGTGTTGTTATGGATTTTCTTGGGTTTTACCTACACAGAAGTCACGGTTTCGACATAAATCAGTGTGTAGCTATCTCTAATAGAATTTAAGCTAATTTGTTTTTGCCGATAAGTGCACTACTGAAAGTGTATATAAGTAGAAGTGGAACAACACTCACTTGCACAAATTTTAAAAATGAAGTATTTGCATATCTTGGGACTCTTGGTCTTTTTGGCCGCTTCTGGATCGACTTTCGATCGCGATAAGCAATTCTACGGGATTTCTAAGGAGCATTTCGGGCAGCTGACGATTCCGGAACAAAAACCTGCGCCTGTGGAACTTTTGCAGCACAAGATATCCTTCTCCCAATCCAAACGTCAGTCCTTCACAGCATTTGATTTGCGTGTGATACGTTTACTACGTAAATTGGGGTTATTGAATATCAATGCTGATCAACTGCTGGATACTCTCGAAAAGGACAAGAATCAAACACGACTTTCATGAAGATTTCTTTGAATTCATTTTTATGGAAAAAACTTGGAATTGAAAAATGTAATTTTTACCATCGACCCGATAATATTAACGATTATACCGATCACAAGCTAGTAAATGAGCTATCAAAATGCCGTAAAATGATTTATTTAAATTGATTGCTAATAGCTAACAATGCTTGGATTATTTTAATCTCTCACTTCCTCACTTCCTCCCTCCCCCTCGCCATCCCTCCTCCGATAATTATCGATAGTTTTGGGCACTTCTGTTGGCCCAACTTAAAACACCGCACAAATGATTGCCATAAATTTGATGGCAACAAACAACGACAACAACGAGTAGCGCTGCCGCCCGCGCTTTCTCCGCAGTTCTCGGCATTTCTCCGCTCCTCTCTCCACTCAGTTATGTGCCAACTGTTGAGTTTCCTTCCGCTTCCGAATGCGAGCGCGAAAGAGAGAGAGAGAGAGAGAGCGAGAGGGAGAGGGCGTGGGTCTGAGATGGGGCGAGCGGGAGAGTGTAGGCGGTGGGTGGCAAAGGGAAAAGGAGTGAGAACGATACGGCCACTCGCTCGCTTGCTCGCTCTCTCCTTCTCTCCTTCTCTCCATCTCTTTCTCCCTCTCTCTCTCTCGCCGGCATCGAGGGCTGCTTACAGGTGTTTATAGTACTTCGGCTCTTGCCGTCCACAGCCGAAGTGCCCGGCCGAGTGGCGGCCTCTCGTTCGCTCCCGCTCATATGCTCAATAGCGCCCTCTCGCTCCCGGTCGCTCCCGGTCGCTTTATATTCCTCGCAATGCGTCGCCTTCGCATCAGTTTCATTTGAACGGTCAACGAGGCGCGTTGTGCTAGGAAGAAATAAGTCATTTAAATAGCAGAACAGCCAAGCAGGCCAAACATTTCAAAGCAAAATACCAAACTCTCTGGAACTCACAAGTTCTTCAAAAACACCGACATCACCCAAAACAAACAAAACATCCCATACCAAAATAAAAACATAAACATACTGAAAAAAAAACTTACAATATCAAAATATAAAGTAACTATTTTTTTGATTGTGCTTCTAAGTGTTGTGCTAAAGCTATATTAACTTGTACAAATATTCCAAAATATTCAAAGATATTTTAAAGTATTTAACTAATACTTAAAAAATAGGCTACGCTACAAACTCAAAACTAACTAAAGGTCAAAAGATAAAAACTAGACAGTTTTAAGACAAATATCTTTACAGTTTTTGTGATTTTTGAATCCTAACGTTAACGTGTAAACGCACGCAAAAATGTGCACGAAATTTTCACTTGACTCGAACGACTGAAAAGTGCGTTCCATTGAAAAGACAAACTGAATGCAAAGCGGTAAATATGAAAAGACTTATTCTAATTCAATGAAAAATTTCCTTGAAAAATTGTTGATTAATTTCGTGATGTGAGAGTTTATTAGTCGTATGAGTGTGTGTGCGTGTGTTTTGGGAAAAGCTCCACAGAATTTTTCATGCATCAGTTAAAAATCCTACATGGAAATTATCAAGAATTTGTTTCTGAGTTTGTGCTGTGTTTTTTTTTTGAATAGGATTTAATAGAATTTGATTTTGTAGCTTACAAAAAGTGTAGAAGATTCCACAGATGTGAAATAGTTGTCTTCAATTGCTTAAAAATATTTATATATTTTAGTTTAAAACACGCCTTAATGCAAAAGTTTCTGTTTAAAAATCAGTAATTTTGAATAAAATTCCTGCTATGTCCTTGGCTTTTCATGCCGTACAAATTCAATTACCCACATTCTCATTGTCTCCGATTGTCTGTGTGTCAATATAAGATGAATTAATGAAAAATCGTCTGCGATTTCGGGGCGAAATTTCTTTTTTGTGTGATCGCACGGCAAAACAAACTCGTTACGCATACGCCGTGTGTGCAATTGTATTAAACGATGCCATTCATTGAAAATTGCTGGCCAGAGAGAGCGGTTTGGGTTTTGGTTTTGGCTTAGGTTTAGGTTTTTAGGCCACTCCGGTTGAGGATTTATGTTCTTGTCGGCCAGCCTCGTTAGCCGAACTTGTTGCCACATTCGCATCCGCACTGGCATCCGCACTGGCATCCGCACACGCATCCTTTGTACGTGTCCTTTTGCTAATCGCTGCGTTTAAGGAACTGCATGCTGGAGGATGTTGCAGCTCTTGTATTGGCACGTGACCGGCTTTTCTCTGACACAAGAGCGCGAAATGGCGAAAATAACGTAATGGCGAAAGGCGGCACTCAGTGCGGTCGGCAATCTTTGATTTCCCATTTCCCCGGTAACAGGAAAATATCAGACAACGTGGCGTATACGTGGCGTTCCTGTTTGTGCTTCCGTTCTTTTGTTGTCCTCAAGTTTTCTTTCAACGAAGGCACTTTCTTAGCCAAGTAAGACAGCTTAAATTTCACAGTTTTAAATAATGTACTGTATTTTAAACTTTCCATTTATTTGTATAAAGATTTAATTGGTTGAGTACATAAATATTACAACAAATACGACATTTTTAAATCAACTGAAGCCTCCACATATTTTAATAATAAATGTGTGTGCCATTGTTAAAATATTTTTATGCGACTTTGTGTGCTTCTGAAATAAAGAAATTGCTCCCCATTTATCTTGCACACATATAAAAATGTGATGTTTCAATTGTTGATCCATACTTTTTTTGTTTGCTCTTGTTTGCTTCACTTCACATAAAATATTCAATTTTCATTTCTTGTCGTGAGCCAGGGGCGGTTCGCATATAAAATCCAATAAATATACACATAAAAATTGAACAAAAAAATGCAAAAATAACAGATTGGAAATGGTTGAAAGATACCGCGGGCTATTTAACAGCACAGTATGCATCGCATTTTGATTGCAGATTGTATATCCATTGTAAAGGTGTTTCCTTTGCCAAAAGCACCGTGTTAATTAGTAGAAATTTTCATTTGAACATTTTTGGGGAATTCTATATGGAATGGAATTGCATTGCACCCCTAATGCTGGCTAATTTATTCACCGTTTTACCCCCACAAATTTCCATCATCAATCATTGTTCTGTATGGCAGTTTAGGTGGGGTGTATTGATAACATGGCTTTGGGGGCATTTGGCTGAATAAATATTATGATTGAAAATATCAGAACGACAGCGGTGGAATGAAGTCTTACCTGATGGCATTTTAAGTGGAAAACAATGTTGCGCACGGATCTAGATTCTAGTTGCATTGTTATCGCACCTCCGATACCGTTTTATACGGATCCATGGGGATCCATGGATTACTTCGAGTGCGATGCTATTCATCAACATTTTTGGAAGCTAATCCTGCAGCTTGGCTTCTGTTTGAAAGAGTTGAAGCCAATTGGAGTTAGAATAAATAATTTGTATTCGAGATCGCACTTCTTGACAAAATTCAAGGGAATAGTGCTAGAATTATGTTAGCTAACCAAACAGAAGATGAAATTACCTTGATGGAGGTTTGTACTTTCAGTTCTTAGACAGGATGGTACACAAAATGTAATTAAGTAGAATTTGAATACGATGCTGCCAGTCCAAACATGGCAGCCACTTTATCCCTACTTTGCTTGCTTTCACATCTCAAGTTTAACCCATTGTTGGTTCTTGGTTTGTGTTTGTCCTTTTTTTCTTCTGTTTTTCTGTTTGGGGTTTTTTTTTTGCGTTGGAGACGGGATAAATGGGGGGCGTGGGTCCAATGTTGAAGTGTTGGCATTGCAGGTGGAAAATCAAGGGGCTTTTCGTGTGCGTTCCGGGCAAGAGTTAAGTGATTGCTGCTTCTGTGTTAGCCGGCTGAGCTTTTAGCCTGTCAGGGAGCTGATTCTCCAACCAATTGGGGTTTTGTTTTTCGCTCTTTTGATTATCCATTGTTGGTCTTATGCTGCTGCTCCGGAGGAAACAGACAGACAGTCGAAAAACTGACAGTTGTCGGTGGGTAAACATTCGGTCAAATAGCAATACTACCTTTCCCAATTTCGGCATGGGCGTCAAGGCGACGGAGGCCCACATGGCGTATACTCGATACGTATGCGCTACATTAAAGCCAAGTTATGAGTCTTTAACAGGCCATGGCAACAGCATTAATAGCAACAGCAATGCCAACGGCAACAGCCAAACGATCGAATCGAAGTGAACAGGGCCCAAAGTAACCAAGTCGCCTGAAACATAGCAACCGTCGTCCGTAATAACTAACGTAGTTTGCCTAAGCAATTTGGCACTTGTGCGCTTTATGGCGCCCACTGGTGCACCTTGCACAGTGGAACCAAACGGCCGAAATTCCCAGCAATCAAACATCGTACATAGCTCGGGGTCTAAAAGTTGAACAGATGTGCTCACAGTAGTGGCAACTATGCATTTAGTTTTTAGATCGCTTGAAACATGCAATTAATGCTAAAAATTTGCTAAGATATCGAAGTTACAAATATAAAGTAATATCAGATGTACACTTTCATAAAAGCAAAGAAAAATACAGGATCTTATTCGCCTAATTTAGGTAGTTTTTACATAGTATCATACATTTTTGGTAACTTTCTTTAACGAAGTTTGCTTTAAATAATTCTCCATAAATGAGGAGTGTATTTTATTCACTTCCACTTCACTGTTCACATGCGCTAAGCAGCTGGCAAAGAGGAGTCATCCACAACAGGGCCAGGAAACCCCTCAAACAGGAAGAGTTCCTATGGAGCAGGAGTAGGGGAACCAGGACGACACGGCACATGTGCTTAACTGCCAGCAAACTAGGGATGACGTCTGATATATTTGCATGAAGAAGTGTTGTCACTGTAGCGACGGCTGCTGTTGTTGCTGTTGTATGCCCAACTGCCTGCCAATGATAAATGCAAATAGGTGCAGACATATAGGGGCTATTCGCAGAATCAAAGGAAATACGGGGCGACATTACGCATACGCCGTGTGTTCGATGCTGGAGCATCTCGCAGTTCTCAGCTCGAAGCTCGAATCTCGCATCTCGAATCTCAACTGCAATCTGCAACTGATTGGGTGAATGCACTAATCGGCGGTGCTCAAACGATTGCCAAACATTGTTAGGAGTGCAAACATTTCTTGTTGCGAACCAAC